GAAAGATAGAAACCCTTCTATCTTTCCTTATGATAGCAACATACAGGATCTAAACCTCCCACCGGCCCCTCAGGAGGAGGACACACTGTTCTGGCTGAGCCGACCCTCCTCACAGGTGGGGTTTCCAGGCTCCCTGGTGTTGGGGGAAGAGGCCCATAGCTGCTAGACTGGTCCTGAAATTAGACTCAGCTGGCGTGTGTTGCCTGGCAACACCCTAGCACAACAAAACAAAGACCCCCTGTTGGGCAGGACAGGCCTGTTGAAATCCTAGAGCGGTGGGAACACTGCCTCCTGACCTGCCTCCCCTGCTGAGAAGTCTCCCACAAGTGACCTGAGTCCAAGGGACGTGGCGCTGGCTGCCGGTCCGAGCTTGATGAGACCCAGGCTGATGAGTTACTGAGCCGGGCCCAGGAAGAGCCTCCCTTCCTTGTTACCTTCACCTCAGAAACCTCCTCCCCGCCCTCTTGGAAGAGTGGGTCAACCTGTACCTTCCCCTGAGTTCCGAGCTGGCCTCAGCACTGAGCCCAGTTCCCCTCCTCCCCGACTCCCTCCTCTTTCTGTGATGGCAACTGAGCATTACTGAGGTGGTATCACTGACCACCCCCAGGTGGCGCGAACTGTGAGGGTACCTGCACCAGAACAAACCTGCGGCTCTGTCTGGCCTTTGCGCAGCTACTGGCAAAAGCACCCGAGAATTTCTCAAGACGCAAAGCCATTTCGTTTGACTTTACAATAATCGCTTACAGCTCTAATTTCATCTTTCCCTAGGCACCTCTGCTTGCTTATTTGTTCCTGTTTGTTTGAGACTGGGACTCACTCATCTGAGGCTGGACTCCTGCACTCAAATCGAGTGACTTTCTGGCTTTGTTTTGTTTTTTAAATCTTTTTGCCAGGCATGATGGTACACACTTTGCAATGTCGGGTTCTGGGGTGTCGGGCAAAAGGACTGAAAAACCAGCCTCGTCTGGCCTACATAATCAGTTCCAGGCCAGCCTGGGCTACAGGGCCAGATCCTATTTCAGGAACAAAAGGGAAAAAAAAATTAAGTGTCACTAGTCTTTATAGTCTAAGCATTTCAGGCTCCCATTTCAAGAAGGCTAGTGAGAAGACAATTTGATTGCCCTCAAGCTTCTCCAGGTCTGTTCACTCGGGGACAAGAAGGAATTACCCCAGAACCTTTGCTGTCTCAAATGGGCTGAGTGGAGGCGGAACCCATGTTTTCTCCAGCTTAGGAGCTCACTGTCCTGGACAGCGGCCGAGACAAGCTCCTGGGACATCCTGACGAGAGAGTGGGTCCCGAAATTCAGGAGTGGTAGCTAGGTAGTTACCAAATACAGAGGCAAGGAGTAAGGACTGCCAGCCTCTGCCTTTTCTACTTCTCCAGCCCTGCATGTTTCCCATTGGTCTGTGAAGGATGGAACCTGGGCCTGGCTCTGAATTCCAGTCTCCATCCTGACCACTCAGGCAGCCTGTGGCTGGTTAGCCCCCGCTGTCTTGAAAGGTGTGGACTTAGTCTCATTAGAGCCCCTGAGTGATGCTGACATTGAAGGGGCATGCAGAACAAGGTCAGAGGATGGAGGAGACGATCCCTGGCTATAATTTCCAGCTTGTAACTTCTTTGTGATTCCGTATGTAGCAAGGCCTAGAAATTCTAGAGGTAGTTTGTACTCTTGAAGTTGACTACCTGGTGCCTCTATCTTGACCTGAACCTGGGCTAGCTAGTTTCAGTTTAACTGTTTCAATGCCTGTTACAATGCTCAACTTATAGTAGATACTTGGTATTTGTTAAGGAGCGATCAAAACACTGGATATCAAAGCTGCGGAGATAGATGGCTCGGTGCTTATGAAGCACTTGGCGCTCCTCTGGAGGATCCAGGTTCATTTCCCAGCACCCACACAGCAGCTCACAGCCACCCAGAAACCAGTTCCATGGGCTCCATAGCTCTCTTCTGGCTCCTTGGGCACCGGGCATTCGTGCGGTAGACAGACATATATGCAGACCAAACACCTACACACACACACACACACACACACACACAAACTCAAACTGGCAAACACTGGCTATTATAGCCTTTCATGTCATAATTACAGAAAGCCATTGGCAGCAGCCTTCCCGCCTGTGCCGTGGTTTCTCCCAAAACTGTGCTGGGAGAGTTCCTGTATGCGCACCACCATACATAACAAGTATGTTCTCACCTTGCCAAAGGTCTGCTGTCAGGCTATAGTCATACCGTTCTGACTGACAGCACCCCCTGCCTTCTATTCCTGTTCTGTGCCGACACAGACCGGAGCTGGTGAGAACTCTGCCCACTCAGCGCCTCAGGACCACATCATTTCAGACTCCAAGCTGTGGGGCTCTCCCAGCCCCAAATTACCCACAGGTTTGCCCGGCAGACTGAAGATTACAGGGCTCCCACGACCTCCCTCCTGTTGCTGGAATGAGCACAGGAAAGCCCTTGCTTAGAAGTATAGCTCAGATATAAAGGTTGCCAACTCAGAACAGCCAAGTGGAAGAGATGCATAAGGTGTGGACTGATGGCTGGGGGGAGCTTGAGTCATGATTGATTGGTAAAATCCGCAGCACAGTTTGAGAAGTTGTCAGAAGTGTGTCCTTAGGAAGCCTGCCCAAGTTTGCTTCTGTCGCTGTCATGAAACACCATGACTAAGGCAACTTGCGGAGGAAAGGCTTTATGCATCCTGATCATAGTCCATCCTTGAGGGCAGGAACTGAAGCAGAGGCTGTGGACACATGCTGCTTTCTCACCTGCTCCCCGTGGCTTTCTTAGCCTGCTTTCTTATACCACTGGTGGGCTGGGTCCTCTCACATCAATCAATCAAGAAAATCCCCTGCAGACTTGCCTCCAGGCCAATCAGATGCAGACATTTCCTTTTCCCAGATAGCCCTAGCTTTTGTCAAGTTGACAGAAACAAACAAAAAAAATCCACTATGAGCAACAACCCATAAGCAACCCGAGCCATAAGACAGGGAGACTTCCCCAGGTCCGGCTCTAGAAGTGTCCAGCTGGAACCTGCGACACTCAAAGCAGTTGTCCCAAGACTAAATCAGGTGGAAGATGCTCCTGAACCTATCTTGGAGTCATCCCGTACAAAAGACACCATAGGATACTCTTTGTTGTCCCTAACTGACAAGCCTCTGGCCTACGGCAGGGATCACCCTTGAGTAATTTTGGTGACAGTTTCTTCACAGGTGAAAGATTCCCGAAGGCTTTACTCTGTTCAGTTTAACACGTTAGCCTGTTTCTAAATTCCATCCTGAAGTCTTTGTTAAACCATACATAGAGGACAAGGCTCGCCTCTGCCTGAACGTGAGGCAGTGGAGTTGAGCTGCCACCTGTTCCTATCTACCTGTGCTTGGGGTTGGGGCACACAAGCCCCAGAGAACCCAGCAGAGAGATCACACACAGTAACAATGCCTTTGGAGTTGCCTAACTGTGGCACATGGCAGGACACAGGCCAGGGTTCCAGCAAGGAGAAGGTGGTCACTGTGACATAATCTGAAGTGTGATGGTGGTAAGCTGAGTGCAGCCAGCTCTTCTAGAGTCGGGAGAAAGGACAGACACGCTGCAGCCGCCTTTCGTGCTTAGAGTGGCTCTCATCAAACTAAGAACTGGCCCAGAGCAACACTACCAATGAGAAATGCAAGCAGAATTTCTTCCTGGTCCTTGCACTAGCCCACGTTGTACCTATAAGACCCTTGATAATGCAGTCACACAGCATCCAGCATGCATGCTGTTCTTCGCATCATCGTCGTCATCATCATCATCATCATCATCATCATCAGCCAAAAAAACCATGTGGCACACTCAAGATATCTCAAACTACCAAACACACAAGAAGGTTTGGATCTGGCCAGAGTAAATTATGTTTACCTTACGGCCATCTTCATAAGTTCACACATCTTAAGATTGTCCGTAGACACTGAACTGTAACCCAGCTTGCCTTGCAAACAACCCGCAGCCTCGCTTCGTAAGAAGCACCAGAGTCTCGACCAATCACAACTGTTTGAGCCATGTTCAGCTGTCACTCTATCCCACTTTCACTTATATCTTATTTCCTTTTCTCTGGCTCTAAGTATAATTTCATTGGCTGGTGGGTTGTTGAACCTTTCGAGAATGGGATTGCTGCCTGATCCTAGAATTAAAAAAAAAAAAAAAAAAAAGGGGGGGGCTGGAGAGATGGCTCAGAGGTTAAGCGCAGTGGCTGTCCTTCCAACGGTCCTGAGTTCAATTCCCAGCAACCACATGGTGGCTCATAACCACCTATAATGAGATCTGGTGCCCTCTTCTGATATGTTGGTCTGCATGCAGGCAGAATACTGTATAAATAATAAATAAATCTTTAAAAAAAATAAATCAAATTAAGATCTCTAAAACCAGCCAGTTTTAAAACCACTGGTGCACACCTTTAATCCCAGCAGAGGCAGGTGGATCTTTGTGAGTTCAAGGCCAGCCTAGACAGCCTGGACTACATAGAGATACCCTGTCTCAAAACAAAAAACAAAACAAAACCCACCAGAACAAAAAAAAAAATAAAATAACAACAACAGGACCTCTCTAAAACTAGATTTTCTGGTGTATGTGAGTATGTTCAGGACCATACTGCTGGGATAAAACGTTAGACTTCACCACTGAGCTACAGCCTCAACCTGTATTTAATTTATTTGTTTATGTGTATATGATGCATGAGCGTGTTGGCATGGTATTCTTGGGACCAACTTTTGGGAGTTTTTGTTTTGTTTTAACTATGTAGACCATGCTGGCCTTGAACTCACAGAGCTTCACCTACTGGGATTAAAGGCGTGTACTACCTTGCCTGTTAGAGACCAGCTTCTAAAATGCACCTGTTGGAGGTTTTCAATCCTTGATAAGTGATAACTTGTTATTCTACAGGAAAGCAAAGTTGCCACTTGTTTGGTCTCCTGGGTATTCGTGTTGCACAAGCAAGCACTCATTTCCTGGTGGGTCTGACTTCTTTCCTAGGGAGGTGCCCCTGAAGGATGCTAAGGAGTATGCTGAGTCCATCGGTGCCATCGTGGTTGAGACCAGTGCGAAACATGCCATCAACATCGAAGAGCTCTTTCAGGGCATCAGTAAGTGCCGCCTGGATTCCCAACCTACCTTAGCTTGCGTGCTTATGCCTTGGGGAGTCAAAACCTAACCTTTCGTCTGTGTGAATTTATCTGATGCCAACAAACCCTGAAGTCAGTCTGTGAGCCCCTACAACTATAAGTGTATGGACTCACCTCCGTCCTTTCTTTCTCTCTCTCTCTCTCTCTCTCTCTTTCTCTCTCTCTCTCTTTCTTTCTTTCTTTCTTTCTTTCTTTCTTTTCTCTCTTTCTTTCTCCCTTTCTTTCTCTCTCTCTCTCTCTCTCTCTCTCTTTCTTTCTTTCTTTCTTTCCTTTTTTTCTTTCGGAGTATGATGGTTGGCTTGAATTTTTCTTAATGTATTTTTAATTGAAGTCAAATTATGTCACTTACTGCCTCCCTCTCCTCCCTCCAGCTTCTCTAGGCTCTCTCTTCCCCCTCCATGTTCCCCATCATTCTCAAGTTGATAGCCTCTTTTTCGTGGGTTATTATTGTTCCATACATATGTGTATGCTCAAATATATACATGCAACCTGTAGAGTCCATTTTTGGTTTTTGTATGTATATGGTTTCAAGGCTGACCACTTGGCAGTGCGCTCACCGCTGGGGGAGGCTGATTTTCTTGTCCCAGTGGTCCTGAGCTGTAGTTCCTCGTCTTGGGCTGTTTCCCCCTTTCCATGGAGACTGCAGTCCCATCCTTCCAGTCTTGTTCATGCAGCCATTTCTCAGAGAGACTGTTTCACTTCAGATCTCCCAAATGTCTAATTCTGTGCCTCGCTCTGTTCCTTCTGTTTCATGACCAAAAATGACACAATCATTGCAAGAACAGAATATATACAGAATTATATACACACATATGTAATATACAGAATTACTTGTGACTAAAAATCGTGTGTTTGGGGCATTGTACTTAGTGTTTTGATGGTAGAGGCGACGTAGACCCTGGCATGGTAGAAGTTCAGTCATTAAATCAAATGGCTCTAAGCAAAGTCTGGGAACCTTTTAGTGATTTCTTTTGCCAGATAATTGTTCACACACACACACACACACACACACACACACACACACTCACACAATGCTTCTCTCTCATGTGACCTGCAGTCAGGAACTAGGCAGAGGGTTCGTCTGAGAACTTACTGTCACTCTCGTTCATAACAGGAGACAGCACTGGGTCAGGTCGTACCTCACTTCCGTTATGGTGTTCTCCCATGGATGACTGACCTCAGCTGTTTACCTCAGATGGCTGTGCTGACACACCAGCCTGTAGCTGTGACTATCCAAGCACCCCAGATTTCACTTTCATGAACTCTGGTCATGACATGTGTTCAGGCTTCCTTCCGCCAGGGAAATGCCCACCGACCATGAAAAGCTTAAGGCCTCAGTTCGTCCGTGTGTTATCAGGGGCTGGGAGAAGCCCCCTTATTCACTGAGATGTCACCATTGCGAGTCCTGGGAACCCTCTGTGGGATGGTCAGAACCCTTATCGGTTATCAGCTGTCCTCAGGAAGCCTCAGCTCCCGGCAATTCCAAAAGGGATGCGGCCCACTCTCTGGCTGGCTCTTTTCTGCACGTGAGGTCATTTCTGGTTAAACTCAAGGCCAGTAGCTCTCAGGATAGAACTGTTTTACATTTTCCTTGTTCTAGTTCATTGCTTTGAATTCTGAGAACAAACAGCAGAGAGCTTTTGGTTTGTTTGTGTTGGCCTGAAGGAGAATTTATGGGCCGTTGAGAACTCTGACCTGATTGCTTCCCCTGGGTAGAAATGTGCGAAAGAATGGTGCTAGGCCTCTCCCAGCAGCCCTGGGCCCTGTCACCATGGTGTCTCTGCGGCCTTTCCTTCCATCTACCTCCATGAGTATTTTTCCTGGCTGTTTACACATGGGATGGAAAAACCGCAAGCTCCCTGGGCTGAGTGGTTAATCCTAGCTGGCTGGAGCTGTGACTGGGTGCTGGCGCCTTGTGTTCCCACATCTCAGCTTCTTCCGTGGTGGACTGTGAGAGCACACGCTCTCTGTACTGCATCACTCTGAGAGGCCGAGAGGACTCTGATTTGAACTTACAACGTTGGGCCCTTTATTGCCCTCGTGTAAAGTTATTCTTTTTCAGTCCTCTGGGCTTTTCTGGCATGTTCACCTGCCGGACATTTTCTTTTTAAAAGCGCTTTGTAGTTGTTTGTTTTGTATTTGTTTTTCAAGACAGGGTTCTGCTCTATAGCCCAGGTTGGTCCTGAAACTCATAGTAGTGCTCTCTCCTGAGTCTCCTGAGCACTGGGGTTACAACCCACAATCATCCGCAGCCGGTTTTAATGAGCTGCTGTGCACCGTTACCAAAGTGCCGCTGACTGCACAGCTCGCTGCACTGTGGAGAGGCCCCCCCCCCCCCCCCCCCCAGTGTGAGCACCTTGAGCCAAGGCCAGGCAGAGGTCGCATAGGAAGCTGTTTTTTAAGTGCACTAAATTCACCTGACAGTTTCTACACGAGGAGACCCTCTGAGCTTGATAGAAGTCATTATTGAAATAAAGAAATCAAATAAAGACCATAAAGGGAACGAGAAGCCTCAGTATTGAGAATTAACATCTCAGAAAGACTTCTTTGGATAACTCAACCTTCCTACATCCCTTTCCACACCAGGGGCCCTTGTGCCTCACAATGATGAAGGCGTTGAATAATTAGTTCCTCATATTCTAGGGGTCTGCTTCATTTAGAAAAAACAACAACAACAACAAAAAAACAACAGGTCTTTGGCTTAAGCAAGGAGTAATTGCAGCTTCAAAGTCCATGGGCCCCGTGCCTCCTCTTCTTCCATGTCAAATAAACAAATGTGTGCTTCTGTGTGGTATACTTTAGCTATACATACTTAGCAAAGACAGCTTGTAGATTTGTGACGAAACCTCTAGTCAGGTCTCTACATCCATTATCTATCTGTCCTTCATCTCTCATCTGCGCGACTATCCGGTTCTATCTGTTGTCTCTCTGCATCAGTATCTGTCTGTGCTTATCCATCTCTCTAGACTTCCAGCTGTCACTATCCACCTGTCTACTTTCCATCTCTTTCCATTATTCTAGCTATCTATCTCTGTCTCTATCCTGGTAGTCCCGTCTCTATCGATCCAGCCGTCTGTCTGTCTATTATCTATCTGCCCATCTACTTCTAACTCAGTCTCTCCCTGCCCGGATCCGTGAACTCTGGCACCTTCATCTTTGCCACTCTTTCTCGGGAGTTGCATCAAAATGAAGGTTTTGTCACCAAAGTGCAGGTTAATTTAAAACAGAATTCCAAGTACACCAGAATCTACCGCAGCAGACTTTTCTTGTATTTCCCTTTCATGATCCCTGCTTGTATTACATGAGCTCCTACCCAAGCTTAAAATAGAGCTGGAGATTGCTGACACCTATGCTCTCGGCGCAATGTGGCGAAGACAAACATGCCCAGGAGAGAAGATACAATAAAAACCAGGGAACAGCCGTGAGAACAGCAGCCCTTTTAAGAGGTGTGCTTACACAAAATCAATTCACACTGGCTTGGATGAAGATGCAAATTCGGTTCTTTTGTATTCCCAGGGTGTTCATACAACAGAAACGAGGCTACTGTGCTTTCCGAGAGGAAGCCAATACATCTTCTAAGTGCAAACTGTTCACCAAACTGTTATCTCTTTTGAAGAATACAGCTGCCCTGGAAAGGGACCTTGCCACTGCCCTAGCCTGGCTGGTCCAGGCTGTCTGTTCTGTGATGTCTCATCCCCTGGTGTCTGTTCTTTCAGGTGCCCTCCTCAGAGGCCCATTTTTCAGACCTACTTTATCCTGCTGTGTGTAGCTCACTCTCTTCTGCACCTTTCTACCCTGGGGGCTGTTCATTTTTCTTTCTTGGCTAAGAAGATAATTGTACACTTGTTTTTTTTTTTTTTTTTTTTTTTTTAATGTTGTAAGACAACACAGAGACTGTTCTGTTGCTGCTCAGCTATTGCAGTGTTAAAAAACCCCCAAACAAAAGGCGTTGATGCCTTCAGGAGGCGCAGAGCAATGCTCTGCTCTAGATGAGGGGGAGACCCGGGACTTGAGCACTGGGACTTCAGCCCTGCTCCTTATTCCTTCTGCATCTCAGTGCTGACCCTGTGGTCATGGAGCTATAATCTTCCCCTGAAGAATACCTTGGAGACTTGGAGGGCATTGGACTGCGGCTTTTTTGTTTTGGGTTATTTCATGTTTGCTGAAGAACAGATGAGGGATGCTTTGGTTTTGCTGTGTCACCAGGGTCGCTCTTTGGCACCACTCTGGATCTCTGGTCTTTGTGGTCACACTTGAAAGAAATCTGGTGAGACACACAGCATGGTGTAGAAGATAGAAGTCTGCCAGATGGTGAAGTAGGCACTTTTAACAGAGTGGAGAGTGGCCGAGAGGACTGCTGTGTCAATCTATATTTTAGGGCTTTATACCATTTCTAAGCCTCTAGAACAACTTCTCCTGAGGGGCATTTCTCCAGCCAGGTGACTGACAGATCCATTTTGAATTAACCCTCCGGAGAAGAGGACGCTGGAGTCCTCCTTTCCCAGAAACCTCCTAGCCGGCGTTCTGAAGGGCGTGTCTCCACCCAGGATCCCTGACCATGACTCAGCTCCTATCCCTTCGACCAGTAAACACAGCCCTGTAGTTTCAGTTCCTGGCTTTCTGGGCTGCTGGTCTTAAGGTTGGGGTCCATCATTAATGGCCTTTCAAGCCCTCCAACACTTAACTTGCTACCTGTTTGCTTGTTTTTAATGTCCGTGCAATTAGAGGTGAGAGCAGCCCTGGCTTGGAAGGCTTAGGAAACAGGAAGGAGTGGTCCATCTTGTCCTGTAATCCTCATTGCACAGCACGCTGGCTGTTGTACACCCACTGGGTTTTGTAATTCTGTGGAGTTACTTCGTTTAGAGCATGTAAGAGAAGTTTGAAAGCAAAACGAAACCTTTGAAAATTTTGTAACAGGACAGCAAGCTGTCATATGAAGATAAAGGTGAGGATCATCCCTT